CCCCGCCCCTGCCAGTTCCCGCCCCTCCCTCCCTGCAGGGTCATGGCAGGGACTCTGGCGAGGCATCACGTGACCCGAGAAGTCTCAGCTCTCCAGGCTCAGCAGCCAGGACAGTGTGGGGCACCCAGTGCGGGCCTCCAACCAAGGGGCCAGGTGCTCCTGGGGCCCCGGGAGTCAGGGCGCTGAGGGTTCTCCAACTTTGTTGCCGGGACGTCTGAGTCGCAGGGACTCTGGATTCCTGGGGCTTGCCCAAGGCTGGTCTGGTGGCTGGTCCTGCGTCGTGGCCACTCTGTGCCCCCAGCCTAGCTCCACCTGCAGACGCGCCCTGGTGGAGCCTGTGGGCTCGGCCTGCCGCAGGGACGCTCCTTCCATGGGATCCCTGTCTCGGGTCCACAGAGGAGACCAGGGTTCCTCTGGCCATGGAGTGCGGGGTCTGAGGGGGGCCCTGCAGAGTCCTGCCCTGAGCGGACACGGTGCTGGGTGCGGCACAGGGCTCGCCTCTGGGCAGACCTGGGTGTGCGGGCTCCCCCTGCTGTGGGTAGGACATCCGCGTGGCCCGAAGGCGGCTGGGAAGGGACGTGGATCTGTGTCCCCCTCGCGCTCCCTTGCTGTGCCTTCTCACTCACCTCACAGGTGACTGTGGTGGCCCCAGGCACATCGTGTGGACGGTGCCCCGAGGGACAGCGTGTGTGGGCACAGAGACACTGCTGGGCTAGAGCTGGGCAGCGGAGCTGACGCCAACGCCAACGGCACACTTGGGTGGCAGGCATGAGCCACAGCTCTCAGGGGCCCAGGGCGGAGGAGGGGACCCTGTCCTCCTTGGGCAGGGGGAGAGACCTACAGGAAGGGGGCAACAGCCATGCAGGGAGAGCTGAGAGTGTGGGCTTGGGACTGGGGCTCCGGCCCTGGGTGCTGCACGCTGAGCTAGGTGCAGGTGCCGTCACTGAGGTCTGCGGCAGGCCGATAGGGTGGGGCTGCTCTCGATGAAGCCGGGGTCAGAGGTGCTGCTGGGGGGCACCCCTTTATTGCTCCCACTCCTTCTCCAACCCCCCAGCAGCCAGCAGTCAGGCCATCCCCTCCCCTCCCCTCAGGGTCCTGTCTACGCCGCTTGGCGCTGGCTGCCCTGAGGTTCAGCTCTCTGGGCAGAACGCTGGGAGGCCTGCAGCTGCAGCTGCTGAGCAGTGTCAGGCTCTGCCCTGTGCCACGCCCAGCCCTGGAGCCCCACGTGGGTTGGGCTGCCCTCAGCCTCAAAGCCCAGGGACTGAGGACCTGTGAGTTTGTGAGTGAAGGGAAGTAGAAAGGAGGCTCATGACCTAACAGGGACTGAGGAGCCCCTCGCCGTGAAAACAGAGGCCCGGAGAAGAGATCTACAGCTAGAACAAGTGAGAGGTCACCCGCCAGTGGGGGTACCGCGCTGCAGTCCCTTCTCAGTTCCCGTCCTGGGATTTTAGGCACACGCGGGCCTGTGATTTTCAAGGCAGCGCATGACTTTGAAGCCACAGGGCCCGGGACTGGAATCCTGCGGCGGGCTGTCGGGACCTAGCTGCCTTGGTCACCGCGCCACTGTCCGGCCGGGGCCTGGGCGTTCTGCTGGAGTAAAGCCTGTGATGCCCTCGAGCAGGAAGACGTTATGCCAGCGCTGGGCTTTGTCCTGTGACATTTCCATTCGGTTCACACCCCGGTGCTACCAGGTGGTCATGCCTGTATGCAGAGGGGACACAGAGCTAACTTGCCCAAGGTCACACAGCTAGAAAGTAAGCAATTAAAGTAAATGGAGAATGGAGAGCCCTGAGCTGCCCAGGCAACGCAGTGGGACCCTTCTCTAAAAGTAAACAACAACTGAAAGCAGACAGGGCCCGGTGGTTACCGCACTGGACTCCCATGTGGCTGACTGCAGCTCACGTTCCGGATCGGGTGGCTTGGAGCTCACCCTGGTGTGTGCATGTGTGCCCCCAATCCCGAGGGGAGCCTAGAGGAGAAGGGGCTGCGGCATGGTCACCCTCTGGGGATGTCTCACTTGCCCACTTTCCCTATCTCTGTCTCTCTAGCAAGATGACATGCTCTGTGGCAGAAACCTTAAACAAAAAGCAACAGGGGGTCGGCAGAGGGTGGCACAGTAGTGACATGTGACCCACGGAGGCCAGGCCATCTGAGCGGGTTCCAGGCTCCCTCGAGGGCCGCCCGAGGACACGGCACCACGGCGAGGTGGGCCAGCTGAGGCCCTGGAAGACTGTGGTAGATGCTTGGAGGCCTGCAGGTGTGGCTCAGGGCTCTGAGGGGCACTTCGGTACCCACAGACCTGGGAAAATGTGCACGTGGCCCTTGCCACCGACACTGGAGCTGCGTCTGGCGAGGGCATTTGGTGGGGGGTGCAGACGGGCCTCCAGACCCTGGTCTCCAGGAAGGCAGGGGGCGAGGGAGGAGGCTGGGCCCACACAGGGCATGGGGCAGCCGCCCGGCCTCAGGTGTGACAGGCAGGCGGGGCGCTGGCTGTGATGGCCCGTGGCAGGTCTGCTCCACTGGAGCCAAGGAGTCGAGCTCAAACCACAGCCCTCACAGTCCCCTCAGGTATCGCTATGCCCTGGCCATCGCCCTGGGCGTTTCCTGAGTGTCCCCACGTGCCAGGCTCCGCTCGAGGGCTGGAAAGTCCAGCCGGCTCAGAGGGTGTGGTGACCCTTGCCCCACCTCATAGACGACAAACCGAGGCCAGGACAGAGTGACTTGTCAAGGGCCAAGGTGGGGCTGAAGCTGGGGTGACACTTAAACCCAGGTCCCCGACTCTGGGCTCTGTTCTGCGCCCCGCCTCCCTCCAGCCTGCTGCCCACTGCTCCTCGGCGCTGCCCAGCCTCGGCCCACTGGGCTCTGCTTTGGCCCAAGGTGCCCGCAGCCTGTGTCTGTGCACGCGTGTGCATGTGCGTTGCATGTGTGTGGCTGGGTCTGCCCATGGAGCCCTCCCCTGACGTTGCTCAGCTCCCGTGGCAGACGCCCCCCCTGACTACTGGGCGACCCTCAAAGGGGGGCTTCAGGAGAGGGACTCACACGTGAGTTCTTGGAGGACACTGTGGCTTCAGGTGGGGAGTGCAGGACGCTGGTGGGGGAACAGGACATGGGCGGACCCGCTTTCTGGGCAGGGGAAGGATGCCCAGGGCCCTCTCATCTCCGGGAGGAGAGAGGGATGCAGGGGTCTCTTGATCCCTGGCTCTGAGCCCAGTGAAGACAGACAGATGGACAAATGAGGCAGCCCTCTGACGTCAGCTCTGACGGCCCCACTGGATGCCTGGTAGCAGTTGCCTGCCCGTGAGTGCAATCAAAACTGGGGCAGCTGCGGGCGCCTGGCTTTGCCGGAGGAGATTAATGAGCTGGCGTCACCATGGGGTTATGGTCAGCGCGGTGCCCCAGAGGGCCTTCCCCGGACAGCCACTCGGGGTCGTAGCTTCATCCCACACCGCTCCGGATCCGGCGGTTGCTGACTCCCCTGCCCAAATTGTGCCAGGAAAGAAACCCATGACCCTCCTGCCCCCAGAAAGGACTGGGCTTCCTGCTGGCAGCTGGCCCTCGGCCCCCCCTCCGCCCCACCTTGCAGGGGAAGGCAAGCTTGGGGTTTAGAGGCTCAGGCTGGCGAGGCTGGATTCTGGTCCTCGCTTCTCTCTTTCTTTCTTTTCTTTTTTTTTAAGAATTATTTAATTTAATTACATTAATTAATTCATTTTAATTTGGCCAGAGCAGGATGACAGTAAGTGAGAGCGAGGGAAAGTGAGAAAGACAAGCCACCAGGTCCGGGACTCAAACTGCGGTCGGCCATGTGGGAGTCCAGTGCCCTTAACCACCACGCCACTTGCCGGCCCCATTTTGGTCCTTGTGAAATAACCTGCAACTCTGTCTGGCAAGTGCACTTGCCCGGCAGCCCTCCCGATGCGGCTGTGTGCAGCGTGCCCGCCGTGGGCCACCCCGGAGTGGGCTGGGCATGGCAGTGAGGGGATGACCCTGGAGCTGGGCAACGGGCGGGTTGTAGCACCAGGAGGGTGGGCAGTCCAGGAAGGGGTCTCTGGTTGGAAAGGAGACCCAGATAGCCCCAGAAGGGCCTCACACATGTCTGAGAAGGCCGGGGGGCCCACTCCCTCTCTCTGGGACTCCCCACTACAGCTGCAGAAGGGCTGGTGGATAGAGCAGGGCCCGGGACCCCTCGTTCCTGTGCACGTGACGCCCTTCAGCAGGGCGTGGGGGCCACGCTGACTGTGGGAACCACCCTGGCACCCTTTGCAGGCGTGCACAGTGGCCCTCAGCTGAGCTGTGCGAAGCCCCTTCTCCAGGTTCAGAGGCTCCAAGTGGGCTGTGTGTGTGTGTGTGTGGGGGGGGGGGGGGCGGGTTATGTCTTCTCTGAGGATGCAGGGTGGGAGGTGCTGGCCCAGGCCTCCGGGTGACCCTGAATGGGATGCGATGCTCCAGTATCCGGTGTGCCGAGCTCACTGGGGCCCATGGGGAGCCCCAAGTCTGGGCGGTGTCCTCCCGAGAGAGCTCCTGCTCCCTGAGAGGTGGGCTGCCTGCTCGCTGCTCAGGCTCGCTGGAGCCTGAGCCAGAGGCCTTTGTGGTGTAGCCGGTGCTGGCCCAGGCCTCCGGGTGACCCTGAATGGGATGCGATGCTCCAGTATCCGGTGTGCCGAGCTCACTGGGGCCCATGGGGAGCCCCAAGTCTGGGCGGTGTCCTCCCGAGAGAGCTCCTGCTCCCTGAGAGGTGGGCTGCCTGCTCGCTGCTCAGGCTCGCTGGAGCCTGAGCCAGAGGCCTTTGTGGTGTAGCCCCCCAGTGTCCACCTGGGATCCGAGGCCACCCATGCATCCCGGGAGCCTCTAGCGTGTCCTCTGTAGTGGCTAAGCGGGACGGGGGGCACCGTGGACCTGCTAGAGCCTCTCTGGAGAGGCTGGAGGTCTGGCCAGACAGCAGGGATGGCTCCCAGAGCGGGACCTGCCAGGGCTCCCGGCCGTCCGTGCTCCGTGAGGGCCTCCAGCCCCGGGGCACTGGCAGAGGCCCTCCTGCCGCCTGGGCTTGGGGAAGGCAGGGGCCACATTTGGGTGGTGCCGAGGCAGGTCGGCGAGACCCACGGTGGACGCAGAGAGCTATTTCCCGAGTCTGTGGCTGGCAACTGCCCACCGGAATGAAGTCCTGAGAATATGCCTTCTCAGCCCACAGGAGTGGTCAGGGCCGGCGTGCCTGGGGCCATCTTAAGAGCAGTGTCTCTCCCTGCTCGGTCATGGGAGTGGTCACAGCCCCTCGGCACCCACCGGGTCTATAACAGTTTCCCTAGAGGCCGTCAGTACAGCTGGGTGAGGACCCTCAGCCCATAATGGTCAGGTGCTGGAGACTGTGGGTGTCAGCTGGGCAGTGCTGGGCCGGTCTGGGCTGGGCTGGTCTGGGCTGGGCTGGTCTGGTCTGGACTGGGCTGGTCTGGTCTGGTCTGGTCTGGTCTGGGCTGGGCTGGTCTGGGCTAGTGGAGAGAGGGTCTCCATGAGCCTGGCCCGGC